TTGTTTAAAATATTATTATTAGTATTCAAACAAAGTCAATTCTAAACGAAACATCCATTTTTAAATTACTTGTAGAATGTAGTCATGATATTCTTTCAGCAATATATTGTGCTTCAAATATTTCGTAGCTCAAAAAATGTTCAAGGTCAGTGCAGTGGCAACATGCACACAACAAGGAAATTTAATGCCCATATTGCCTTACAAAGACCTTTATGAAAAAACATTAGGTATTTGTTGGGTAATGCCACTGACTGACTCAACACAAGAATTTTTGTGAAACTGGAACTAAAAATCATTGCAACTCAATTTATTTCTCATTTGTAGTCGCTGCATCCCGGAGAAGACTTTCGACCTGTCTTAAACGATGATGGTGACAACTTCCTGGAAGTAGAATGTGGTGAAAACAAAGCTCTACTCTATTTGAATAAATTGTGTCAAGGAAGCAAAGGACAGTGCATATATTTCAAGGTGAGGTCAGAAAGAAAGTTATCTTAGCACATGTTGAAAGACTATATGTTTTGCCAAAATGAATGAAGAAAATGGCATCAGTAGATGATGTGTTAATGTTGAATTTTGCTTTCCTGCATTCTACTTGTCTATAATTTTGATATTTGTCATATTTCCAGTCAGTGTTACCTGTAAGGAAATTTTATATTACACGTATACAACTTTTTCTCCAAGCAAGTTATATATTTATTGTTGCTATCATAAAATTTGAATGATTGTAGAAGGCAAAATTTACCAGTACAAATTCTGAGAAAATTATGAGAGAAAAAAAATATCTAAGATGAATCTTGTTTGTTTTTTGACTTCTAGGAATCCTGGTTAACACCAAATGAATTCCAGTACGTCAGTGGACGGGAAACTGCCAAGGATTGGAAGCGGAGTATCCGTCATCGAGGAAAATGTTTGAAAACATTGATGAACCGTGGATTAATTCAGACACACCCACCAATTTGTGATTGTGCCGCTTGTAGAGTAAGCACTCCAGTAGTAAGTAATCTCAGAGATTTGTCACTCAAAATATTCAAGTGACAAATTGTTTGTATTGGATGAGCATGCCCATGATGAACGAGAATGAGATGAACGACTATGTGTCTGTGATCATACAGGAGCTCTTTAGAGAATCTTTTATATTTATCTTGTTATTGTATTGAATTTTCAATAGAATCGTGGCCGTCTTGCTGAAAAACGTACAAGCATTATGCCGACTATGGTTCTCGGCAGGCGACTTGGTCATGGTGACTATGGTGATCCGAAGCAGGGTATTTCAATTACGAGAGAAGTTAGTTCGCCATCATGCTCAAATCAGATGAGGAAAAGGTATAATACTTTCAACATTTACTATTAATTACTATCAGTATATTGAAGTTATGTATCAGGCCCAGAATAAAAAAAAATGTGCTTTTTGCAGATTTTGCCATAAAAAAGAAAAGAAAAAATCACATATATCACATGGGACACATATTAAACAACAACAATTTAGGCACTTTCAGATAAATTCATGAAATTCCCATAAATAATATCATAGTCAAAAGCACCATGGCTTGCACAACAGGACATTAAGTAATTACTTATTTTTGTTGTATTCTTTGTTGGCAATATTTAAGTCAACTTTTGGTTTTATACTTGGTGGTTGTAAGAGCTAATGCATTATTTACAGTATCGATGATTGGTGGTTTTACAGAGAACAAAAACCACAGTGAACCTCACCAGGCACGCCATAGTATTTTAGTTGTTAGATGCGAGTTGAATGACAGCAGCGTTCTTCCCAGGGCATCATAGAATAGGGTTCCCAACTCTTTAATCTGGAGACACATTAATGGCAATGCAGTATAACAATGAGTTCAATAAAGGTGATTAGCACTTAATATTCTCTAGGGAAGAACACTGGACAGCATCATTAATTGCAAACACTGCTACAGATCGATACAGTCATGAGACTAACCTAAAAGGACTGCAGATTAATACAGTCAATGAAATATTCCTTGCATACAATTAAAAGTTGAGTTGTGTGCTTTATACTGTTCAATAATTTTATTAATTTTCGCTGAAAAAAATATTTGGATGTTTTGTATGGAAATTATTTTCACTGATTATTTATTAGTTTATTGTAAAACATAGGAAAAAAAGTGTATTTGTTGGATTTTACTTTTACTGAATCATTCCTTCAGCGTGAATAGTGAAAATTAAATTTTTTTTACAGTATGTTCGTTAAGATGTAGATTTGTCATTGCATCGCATAATGCACCTAGTTTCCATCATTTACAGTGTTGATGGTACTAACGCCTTGTCGGCAATTATTTCACATTTACACCAAACCAGTGGATCTCACAATGGCAATGGTAGAGCATCACCAAATGAACCTGATTATAGCCGAAAACGATTCAACTCTGACAACACTCATTCTAGCAGTGGTGGCGGTATGGCAGAGAAGAGAAGGAGGAGTACATCGCCATTAACTGGTAAGTTACGCAATCAATGCAACGTTGTCAGTGAAACATGTTAATCTGAACGATTATGTATCTCCCTAGCTGATAGGTTTTAATAAAATTATAATGCATTATCAAAAGATGAGTTTCCATTTCTCTGTTGGCTGTGTCACAGAGTGCATACCCGCAACAGAAGAGTTTGATTTTATGAGTATGGTAGTCATTGGTAAGCATTGTTTCTCGCAAATATGTTACAAAATTGTGTACAGATAGTACATAGCAACTAGAGAACCGAAACTTCACTACTGTAAATTCTATCATATGATAGTCATAATGTTATTCATTTGTAAAATTTAACATAAAAAAATTAAATCACTAATTTGGCTGTGACAAAATTTTGGCGAGCATTAACTTTGATGGGATGTTTGTAAAGACACTCCACGTGGTAAAAGGCAAAGACAAGTTTATTGAGCAAAAACGACTTATAGACACAAACTACAAAACTAATAGAATTACAATTCAATAAGATACAATTCATTAAGCTACAAAATTGGGTAGGGGGCCCACTTCTACCCACCAAGACAGCACGTGCCCCCCTGAGCAATGGATTTCGGGATCCAAAAGAAGCAGGGGGAAAACCTGTATGAGGCCGCCCGACCTTGAAATGGGGGTCAGGATAAAATCCAATCCAGTGGAGCGAAATGACCCATATGCCATGTGACTAAAAATAACTACACATAGTAATGCTGCTGATTTCCCAAACATAATTAATTTTCAGTGCATATTTTCATTATTTATTTGAGTACATGCTCATTTATGTTTTGCATGCGCAGTGGCTGTTTAGCATTTTTTTTGCTGCTGCAACCATTAGTAAAAATACAGTACATACTGTAAAATGACTAATTTTCACTAGGTTTAATTTT